GGTTAGGGGTTTGGGGGTTTAAGGGTTTAGGGGTTGAGGGCTTAGGGTTTTGGCGTAGTGGCGGAAGGTTTAGGGGCTCAGGTTTCGGGTTTGGGGTTTCGGGCTCGGGTTTGGACGTGGGGTGGCCGCTGAACGGGCCTTGCTCCAAACTAGGGTCGCATAAGGCTAGTCACACAGGAGCGCACAGGAGCGAACATCACGCGTACGGTAGTTCCCTTGCTCTCCTTAGGATTTGCATGTTAGTCTACTGGAAGCCAAAGGGAATGTCAAATGGTGTAAGTTTAGTTATGGGCCCGGCTTCTGATTCTAGGGCCACAAAAAGGGAAACATTCAACGATGAGGATTGAGGACAACAGCTGGAGCATCGATTGTGATAGTAAGCCTACCCTAAGGCTACATAGTAGTTACTTGTTGGGGTTCATATATAGAACCCTATAAGGTAATCCCAAAAAGGAACTACTATGGAGCCTCTGGGTAAGCCCCAACCCGTAATCCGGGATAATTGTGCAGGAAATGGTCGCTGACCTTGGACCCTAAACGGAACGTTTATAGAACCTAGAGTAGGCCCTTATTCCTTTTTCGTAGGGTTCAGATTCCCTTATAAGTCTAGCTTTGAATCGTTACAGGACCTCCACAGGACTTGGATCTGGGGCGTAGTCTAGGACTTAGAGTAGGCCCTTATTCCCTTTTTTAGGGTTCAGGTTCCCTTATAAGCCCCTTTAAACCAAAAAGGGCACCCTTTTTATTCCTAGGTTACTCTTGGGTCTAGTAGTAAGTAAGGGTCAGAAGTCAGGTACCAAGAGTTGAATAAAGGAGCTTACACCCCGACTTCCTAAGCCCCTTGGACCTTGAAGCAGCTTTATGGAACCTAAATTCTATACCCTACTAATTCTGGACCTCCAAATTTATCTTACCGAGCCATTTCGAAGGAAGGGACCTCGTGCCCGCCTAGGAAGAGGAAAAACCCTCCTCAAGCTCCTCGCGTGGGGCGCTCAAGGTGTTTTTTCGAGCTTGAGGCTTCTAGGGTTTAGGGTTTAGGGCGCTCAGGGTTTAGGTGTTCGGTTTAGCTAAGTGTTTGGTGTTTAAGGTTTAAGTCTAAGTGTAAGTTTAACGGCCTTTAGCGGTGCGGCTGTCGGGTTTCACGGCTTTGAGTCCAGGACTTCAATGTTCCAGGTGCAGGGTTTAGGGTTTAGGGTTGTTAGGCTTTGGGATTTAGATCGGGTTTTGCATCCATGGGCTCGTTGAAGCCTTGCAAGGTTTAACACCCCTGCACCCGGCTGCACAGGAATTGATTGTATGAGCTGGGGCAGTGTTGTCCGGCAGGGTCTTGAAGCGCTGTTCTAATCGTTCAGGCTTCCGCAATGCCTCTTTAGCAGTTGGTCCTGTGTTTCACGACCATTCATGTTTGCAGGTCCAGTAGGCCAGTAGTCCTGAAGTTATGGGCCACTGCTCTCTGACAGGGTCACCTAGTAGTAGAGTAGGAACCTTTAACCTTTGAATCCAGCCCCCCCCCCCCCCTCCGATCCCTCTCCACCCCCCTCCCTCCAGATTGTCACGACGTGACAATCTGGCGGGAGAAAGCCCAAGATTGTCACGCTATGACAATGTGGGATAAGGCCACATTGCCATGGCATGACAATCTCCCCCCCCCGCCAGATTGTCATAAATGACAATCTGGAGTCGACCAGATCCCAGATTGTCATGCCATAACAATCCTGCCCCCCCCCCCCCCCCCCCACAGATTGTCACGACATGACAATCCACCCCCCCCCCTCCCCACCCCTTTTCCTGCAGATTGTCACGAAGTGACAATTCGGCGGGAGAAAGCTCAAGATTCCGATTGTCATGCCATAACATAACAATCTAAGCGGCGAGGGACCCCCAGATTGTTATGACACGACAATCCGATTGTCATGACGTGACAATCTGACCCCCTACGAGCCGTCAGATTGTCATGGCGTGACAATTCAAATTGTCACAACGTGACAATCCTCGGCGACCGGCGCGGTACACACAAGATGTTTCTCTAGCTCGCTTGAGCCCCCCCCGCCCCCCCGCCCCCCCACCCCTCCATATACTCTCGCGGAACGTTGATTCCAGTGTCAATGAAGCTTCAACTGAAGTGAAGGCACTGCTTTCTTCGGCATCGGGCTCCGCACAACTACAAGTCCCGGTCGATTGCAGATTTCTGGTTCAAGCTCGGCCTTGCGTGCAAGCCACTTGACGGGGAGTGCTGGAGGCATGAGCCCGAAGGCCGGATTCGGCTGAAAGGCGAATGCTCTTCACGTAAGCCTCGACAGGTAAGCAAAAACGCGAGGAAACGGACCAAGCGTGAAGGATGCCTCAACGGCACCCTGAAGGCATGGCACTTCGAGTGGGGGCCTCGGTTTGCAGTGAATTTTTCTGGGTTGCTCGCGCCCGCACCATTCTGAGGCGAGGCCTACCCCCAGACGTCGAGGCGTGGCTGAGGGAGGTCAACCTCATGGTGAGGGACGCCCAACCCATCCTCGCCGTGAGACCCGGGAGGCTGGGCGGGGCGACTGCTACGCTGTCGAACCCTAAACCCTAAACCCTTTCGTGACAATTTCGGGGGAAAGGGAGCGAAGGTTGTCCCGACATGACAATCTGCCCCGACCCCCGCCAGATTGTCATGACTCGACAATCTCTGCTCCCCCCCAAATTGTCGCGACGTGACAATCCCCACACTTGTCACAACGTGACAATCCCCCCCCCCCCCCCCCCCCCCCCCCCCCCCCCCCCCCCACCCCCCTAAGATTGTCACGATGAGAATCCCACCCTCCCAATGCCATTGTCGCGAAGTACAATCTCCCCTCCCCTCTAGCCCCAAATTGTCGCGCCCTGACAATTTCCGCCCCTCACCCGCCAGATTGTCACGACATGACAATCTTCCCCCCCCCGATTGTCACGACGAGACAATCCCCCCCTCCCAAGCCCCCCCCCCCACACCTGTCGCCAATCTCCCCTCCCCCCTCGCCCCAGATTGTGCTCGACAATTTCCGCCCCCCACCCCCTCCCCAAACAAAGATTGTCATGACATGACAATCTCCCCCCCCCCCCCCCCCCCCCCCCCCCCCACAAATTGTCACGAAATTACAATTTAAATTGTCATTCCGCAACAATTTTCCGGGAGGAGCCAGGCACACACAGTGCGTTTTTGGGACTCGCGTTCGGGCCTGGGGACGCCGGGGTACTGTCATCTTTGTGGAAAGAAGGGTGGCCTAACCGTAGCATGGCTGCGGCGAACCTTTCGACTGACCGGCCTCCACATGCCTAGCAAGAGCCGACTCACTGTTTCGCTGCAGCTGCCTTGCTCAAGAGTTGCGTCGCGATTTCGAAGGGTGGACTTCAAGACGATGGCACCAAAGGCCCGGCTGGGCTGGAGGAGTCATTGATTCTGAAGCGAGCTCGTCGCAGGTCTCGAAGCATGCCAAGAAGGAGGCAAAGCGCCAAGGCTGTACCAATGGTACGGTCGAGGCCTTTCGCTTCACGCCAGAGCCTCAGAGTGCAGTGCAATTTTGTTCTGGGTGCCTGCCCCGTGCCTGTTGCAGTCGCGGCCTTCCACCCGACGTGGACGCGCTCTTGACCAAGCAGCTTGACATGGGACGTGAGGCCCCGATCCTCGCCGTGCGGCCAGGTCGGCCCAAAGGCTCCGACTGGAGTTGCCAGATCCGGCTGCACGGTGAGGAGAGGGTGCGGCGGGCACAGATCAAGGGCGTGTCTGAAGACAATAAGATCCTTGTTTCACCAGAAAACTCCACCCCCTTGGGGTTATTTTTAAAACGTGCCTTCCACCCCAAAGAGGATTGGAAGCACGTGTACCTCTGGCGCCTCGAGCTAGAGGAGTAAAAAAAGAGCGAGTTTTGCATTGGAGCAGCAGCCTAGGGAAGTAGTAGGCAGGGACAGGCCAGGACAGAAGGCAGGACAGCATCACCCGGAGAGAAGGGGAAGGAAGGGGGGACACGAGAGCCCAAGGATTTGTAACGCAGCAAGGGGCCGGAGGGGCTCCAGATTGTCATGCCGTGACAATCTGGGTTGGGTAGTATAGTCCCTATATAATCCCTATAACCAGAAAGGTTAACCTTTAGTTCCCCATGATACCCGACAAGTAGGGTCAAGACGATCACCAATCCTCAACCATAGACCCCATGACCCACGGTTCGAAGTATGGGCCCCTAATATGGACCCTTGGGCCCTTTTGAGGGAGTTCTAGGGACCCTTAAGAGTCTATGTAGGGTATATAGTAGGTATTTAGGGGATCCCGGGGTTAAGGGCCCATACTACGGGCCCCCACAGGTCCCAATACCCCGTAATTAAGGAGGAATATACCTTAAATTATAGTAGGATCCCTAATATGATTTAAGGTATGTTCCTTAATTAAGGGGTATTGAGTTCTCTGGCCCCATGGCTTCCACCGTTGAGATACGGTCTTGTGGAGAAACGTGTGCTGGGCCTTCAGGCTTGGGGGTTTGGAGTCGGCGATGCTCTGGTGTCTAAAAGAACGGGCCGGAATACATACCAATACTATGCCTTCGGGTTCCATGAAGTAAACATACTAGAGCTTTCCTCAAAACCCTATCTAGTTATGAATATGAAGGCTCCTATGTCGCAGATCTCATAGGGATCCTTAGGGGTGTAGGGGGGAGGGGACTTAAATAGGCCTTATTAGTCCTTATTATGGGCCTTAAGGCCCCCTACCCCCCCTCCCCCTACACCCCTAAGGATCCCTATGATATGTCGCAGATCCTGGGTTTGGGTTCTAAGGCTTTGGGATTCAGGGCGGCGGTCTGCTGTGAGGCACGGCCTACAGCATGGAGAGGGCCAAGGCTGGTCTAGTGTGACAAGGATTCGGGGCCTCAGGTTTAGAGTTTGGGGTTTAGGATGTGTTTTGGGTTCGGGGTTTAGGGTTTAGTTTGAGTTGTGGGCTTAGGGTTTATGTTGAGTTTGGGGTTTGGGATTTAGGCTTTATGGTGTTGAGGGTTTATTTTGAGTTTATTTTGAGTTCGGGGTTTAGGGTTTATTTTGAGTTTCGGGCTTTGGGTTTATGTTGAATTTTGGGGTTTGGTGTTTAGGGTTTATGTTGAGTTTGGGGTTGCAGGTTTGAGGGTCAGGGTGAAGGGCGCAGGTTGTCTGAGTCTACGAGGGTTCTCTAGGGGTACTGTTTGGGGCTTTGGCCTAACCCCTTAACCCCTAAACCTTAGAAGCTGCCCCCACCCTGTAATAGTGACTATAAGGATTATATTAGGGCCCCATTATATTCCTATTATTACCACTATTACAGGGTGGGAGCCCCTTCTAGCCTAAGCCCCTAAGTAACCCCTAAACCCTAAACTGAAGTTTCGAAATTTCACCTGGAGGCCCAGGGTGCAGGAGCTTCGGGATCAGGGCTTCTCAGGTAGGGTTTAGGTGTTGAGTTCAGGGTTAAGGATATGTTACGAGCTAGGGTTCAGGGTTTAGAGTATGTTAGGAGTTAGGGTTCAGGGTTCAGGGATTTACAGTAAAAGCCAGAAAGTTGGAATATGATTATCCTAACCCTTCCATGGTAAATTATAGGGTATCCTACCATGAAACCATATTCCAACTTTCTGGAGTTCCCTGTAGGTGTTGAGTTCAGGATCCAAGGAGCTTGGCTTTCGGAGAAAGGGTACCTCCTGGAAGGGCTATAAGAAAGGGAACCATGGTTATCTGCCTGAAACCCCCCGTTAAGGTCGCCTAGACCCTAAACCCCTTAACCCTAAACCCCGAAACCCTAAACCCTCAAGCCCTAAAACCCTAAACCCCCTAAACCCCTAAACCCCTAAATCCGACTTCTTAAGTGACGGGAAACGGGGTGCAGGCCGAGGCCTCAGGATGCCTCTGTTTTGGGAGTTTTGTCGTATTTGTTAGAAGCTGCCCCCACCCTGTAATAGTGGTATAATAGGAATATAATAGGGCCCTAATATAATCCTTATAGTCACTATTACAGGGTGGGGGAAGCTTCTGAAGTATTTGAGGTTTAGGGTTAATTGCTGAGGGTTTAGGGCCAAGTTTGGGGTTAAGGGCTGAGGGTGTAGGGTTTAGGGTGCTGGGTTCAGGGTTTGGTGACACTAGAGCCATTCACAAGAGATCATAACAGAAGCTGTCCCTATGTCGTGCCCTTCACCGGAGGGCTCGTGCAGATGCTGGCTTTCGGTGGCCTTGTCATACGAAAGATCGGTTTAGACATCGAGCCCTTATGCTCTAAACTCTAAACCCTCTACCGTAAGTCCCAACAAAGGACCCGTAGTTCTCCAATACCCAGCCTTTAATCTTTTTGGGTCTTATGGTTTACTAGGAACCGGGAAGTTTAACAAGGAAAGCAGAGACCTGCGGCGATGCAAACTTGCGCAGAACCTTACGGTTTAGGGTTGAGGGTTTAGTGCCTTGTTTGCTGTGTCCCCCGAGCTTCGAATTTGGATTGCGGGATTGGGTTTAAAGGCCTCACCGTTTCGGCGAAATGAATACCCGGGCCTGAAAAATTAGAAGAGGGTTTTGGGGGTTTCCTTATTATAATCGTGGCATAATATACCCCCCAAACCCTATTCTATCTGATTATTAAAGCCCCTATAGACGTTTAGGGTTTAACAACATTGACACGATCCGTTTGGACAACTTCGCCAATCAGCGACGCCGGAAGGAGTTCACGTTGTCTCCTTGATCACCGCATGCCTGTCTGATGTGCTGCGTTCGCCTGCCGGTGGAGTGGCGGTGACGCAGCACGAGATTCAGGACATTCTGCGCATCATCCTCGCGGACTTGCGAAACGTGCTCGCTGCGCCGATTGAGTACTCCACTTTTGCAGCGTTTTGCAACGTGCAGCAAAACGGCGTTGAACTTACGTCGTACGAGGAGGCCTTTCCTGTCCTCTCGGCTACATGGTTGAGGCTTTCGGGGATTACACATAGGTTGCAAGGGTAGACGCGCCTCGTAAGTGTTCATCTCAGCGGCCCCGACCAATTCGACGTGGCTCATTCGACAGGAAGTATTCGTCCCACTATGCGTGGAGCCCGATGATCAGCATTTAGTTGAACAAGTCATTGCAACAGTTCTGCAGCCACATGTGCATGCACTGTGTGTACGCCGATGCCAACAGACATGATTACGCATACACGCATGGACTGGCACTCCATCCTTAGCTCCCCGCCCCACACACACACACACAACACACACACACACGCATGCGTACATACTTTTACACGTACATACTAGCATATACATGCGTACGTACGTTCATTCATACAAGCAGGCACACATGCTTAAAGACATATGTTATATAAATGCCTACGTAAAGACATGCATGCAGGTGCACACACAACGTACAGACATGTCTGCATACTTTCGCCGACGTGGGTGTACACTTAGTGGTAGATGTGAAAACAGTATATGACTAACCGCTTAGCCGAGTATACATTTTAGTTTGTTGCGTGCTCATGCTTGCTGATGTGTGGTTTTGTTTACCGCAACACTTGTTCCTAGACCCCGGTCCTAAACCCTGAACTCTCCACCCCTAAACCTTAAACGCGCACCAAAAATCCTAAACCCCTAAATCATAGACCCTAAACCCTGAGACTAAACCCATTCCCATGGGAGGGGATGCCAGCGCCGACTGCCGAGGATTGTTTGTGGGGCTGCGAGCTTGGGGAGCTTAATGTCTGTGAGAGTTTGAACAACAGCATACAGGCCTTAAGTTTCACTTACTGATACATACTTGTCCTTTGGGTTCATCGTGGTAATGTTGCTGTAGTATACCCCACAAACCTATTCTTCATTCCGGGGGGTTCAGGCCCTTCTCTCTTATCCGTGCACTGTACTTGTCGCTTTTGGTGCACAACGGTGATGGGCTTGAGCTTGAGGTTTTCGGGTTCAGGGAGACGAGATGTTCTCGTTGTTTTGATGCTTTTCCGAGGCATTCTAAGGCCGCATCTGATACACAGGGTTGTTTAAAGGGGGAAGCCTTTACCCCCCCTCAAATCCCTGGCCCGAACAGAAAGTTGATACGCTAGGCCATTAGACGCAAGACCTCTTAGATTGCCGTACATCCCCCCTAAATCCCGAAACATCACCAAACCCTACGGAAAACCCTGAACCTGAACCCCTAAACCCTTAACCCCAACACCCTAAACCCCAAAACCTGTTGCCTGGGTTCTGGAATGTTCTGGAGTACCATACTTTAATACCTCTCTAGGGTTCTGTTACTTCAAGGAACTGAAATACAAGTTTCTTTTTTTTCCTTGGATACTATAGGCGCCTTAATTCATAATTGCAATAGGATTTGGGTGTATACTATACTAAAGTTGTAATAAGGAGCCCCAGAATAGTATTGGTGATTATTTAGGCCGCTACATGACCTCAAAGCCCAGTCCCTAAACCGTAGACCTGCCCGTCGAAATAAGAGTTTATACTCATGATAGCAATTTCTCCCAGGTTACTTAAAGGAACCCTTATGAAATGAGAGTCTATAGTTCTTCGCCCTAAACCCTAAACCCTAAACCCTAAACCGTTTAAAAAAAAAACTCTTCCTGTCGCACAGGACCTCGGGGAGAAGGGGCAGGGCTGGGGTCCCTTCCTCGCGACCCGTGCGGGGCCCCGGAGGAGAAGAGCACTGCTTGCTGCTGGGTTTGGGGCTGTTTGGGGCGTCAGGAGTTGGGGGGTCTAGGGTTGTGGGCTTGTGGGGTTTAGGGTTAGTTACGGGCTTACGGTTTCGGTTTTTAGAGTACGGTTCTGTTCTCTTAGACTCTCTGCACGAAAAGACCGCTAAACCAAAAGCTCCCAGCCCCTAGAACCTTAAATCCACGCAGTGCAGGACGCTGAACCCTAAACCCCAAGCTTGGGCACCATTTTGGAGGCCGCAAACCTGAAGCCACCCCCGAGGATCCCCTAAGACTACCTACGCCTCAAAAAACTCTCGCGTGCGCCTTAGGGTTTGGGGTGGAGGGCCTGTGAAGTTCAGTATAGGGGCCTTAGAATTACCTGTATAATTTTGGTGGTTCCTTGCTATAATTATAGTATAATGGGCCCCAAAATCCTATTCTAATTCTTATCGCCCTATAGTAGGGTCTAGCGTTTAGGGACTTCCGGTGCAATGGAGTCTGTCTCGACGCTGTGCCAGGGTTTACCCAGACCCTACATAACCTACCTTTTTTAAGGACTTGCATAAAGAAATCAGAATAAGGAGCCCCTAAGAGGGTAGGTTACTGGGGTCCAGGTGGGGTTTAAAGTTTAGGGTTTAGCGTCTATGGTGCAGGGTCTATAGTTTCTAGGCTGCGGGGTTTCCGATCGAGGGCTGAGGGTTAGGGCCACAACACTAAACCCTAAACTCCAGGGTAAACCCGGAATCCGGATACATTATATGTAATATATGTAACCAATATGCTAAGAAGAGGTAATAGTAGAATAGCATGATACAATCCGTAAGACAATATGTAATGTATACCATAATATGAGTGTATAGGTTTTTCAAACAATGTAGTGCATAGGCTTTAGGTCAAAAAGCCCTGAATAGCATACCCTTGCCCCTAAACCCCTAAACGCCTAAACCCTCCAATCCCTTAAACCCCTAAACCCGAAACCCCCAAACCCCCTAAACCCCTAACCCCCCAAACCCTAAACCCCTAAACCCCCAAGGCCCTAAACGTCTAAACCCTAAACCCCTAAACCCCCAAACCCCCTAAAAAACTCTGTCCTGAACGCTCCTAAGGCGGCTTCCCGGAACTCCAAGTGCCCCTGGTTTGGGGCTCCTGGGCTTCGTTCTGGGAGTTTCCGAAAATTAGGAGATACCTTTTTTTGGGGTGCTTATAATAAGGATCCTACTGTTTAGGGCCCTCTTCTGGTCTGTTCTCGAAGATCTGGTTTAGGGCTTCGGGTTCAGGGTTCAGGGTTAAGGGTCTAGGGTGGCTTAGGAGCTTATGGTTTAAGGGTTTGGGGTTTAGGGTTCAGTATTTAGGTGCCTTAGGGAGGGGTTTCGGGGTTCAGGGTTTAGCGTCTAGGGTTCAGGGGTTTCGGGTAGTTTAGGGTTTAGGGTTTACAGCGTAGGGGTTAGGGTTCAGGGGTGTCGGGTTTAGGGCTTAGGGTTCCGGGGTTTAAGGTTCAGGGCTTCAGGGGTTTAGGGTTCAGGGGTTTCGAGTTTAGGTTGTAGGTGTAGGTACGAGTAGAAAGAGAGATAGGCATAGATAGATCGATGGACGGATAGATAGAGAGATGGTGAACGACAGGTTGTGGGGCCTCCTTTAAAGGTTTAGGGCTTTAGGGCAGATTTTTCTGTGATTGGGATTGTAGAGCCTGTAGGGTTCAGGGTGTAACATACGCCTCATCATGGTTAGTAGTACTCCCTCGTAGTCTCCAAATTAACTATACCTTACGATTGTATACCCCAAACTTCACCACCCACGATCGAAGCTCTGTTATTGGGCATTTAGGGCTTTGGGGGTCCTTGGCCTTTGCTTTAAGCCTTGTACACCCCTGTTCAAGGTTCAGGGGTTCAGGGTCTGAAGTCTAGGGTTTGGGCTTACTTGGAGGTGCATGGGTAGTTATAAGTAGGGTGATAAGTAGGGTAACTATACTTATAAGCCATGTTAGGGGGCTTCAACCCCACTTATAACTACCCTAAACTCTAAACCCCTATACCCTTATAGAATCCCTATAGATCCCTGTAAAGGGGCCCTTAAACAGATAGCGCGGTCTCCCCTTAAAGGAACCCTGATAACTACCCATGAACCTCCAAGTAGAGTTTAGGCTTCTGAATCCTTGCGCAGACACTCATTCAAAGGATGTCAACGGAAACGGATTGGGTAAGCTAACATAGGGGCCCAAATAGTTACCAATACCATTTCGGTGGTTCCTTACTATGATTATAGTATAATGGGCGCCAAAACCCTACTCTAAGGATGAAGGCCCCTATATTTGCGCCCTGAGCCGTAAACTCGATATGCAGAACTCCACGAGCCCCCAGCTATGAATCCTCAGCCCTGAACCCCAAGCTTTCAACCCTGAAACCTAAGCCCTAAATCCCTGAACCCTGAACCCTGAGCCCTAACTCTTAACATACTCTAAACCCTGAACCCTAGCTCGTAGCATAGCCTTAACCCTGAACCCTGAATCCTAAGCCCTGAACCCTGAAAAAACATACACAACCCTGGCCTGTGCACACGTCCCAACCAAGCCTTGAGATCTTTGTCGAGCGCAAACACAGCTTTAGGGTTTATGGATTTAAAGTTAGGGTTTAGGGTTTAGCGTTGGGTTTCATGCTTTAGGATTTAGTTTGGGGTCCTGAGGTTTACGTGCCGGAAAGCATAAGATGATCAGCCTGCACTCCGTAGCCTGCACAATGAACCTGACACAAAACCCGTAGCTCTGAACCTTGAACCCTTGACACTGTCTCCACCTAATCCGGCCCTAAACCCCAAACCCTAAACCCTAGCCTAAACCCCAAGCCCCGACACTTTGAACCCTAAGCCCTTAAACCCCAATCGGCTTTTGCTGAGGATGGTTCAATCACAAGGCCAAGCACCACAAGGACACTCGAAAACAATTTCCCAGGTCGTGAATGCAGCGGCTACCATGGGCGTAGGCGGTTTCGTTAGTCGTTAGCATTTAAGGTAGCAGTCCTTTGTAATACGTATGGACCGTATGGGTTCCACAAGGGAAGCCCGTTGTAAGGTTTGTAACTATAGGGGATGAAAGGGCCTCTAATTCTTCAAAGCACCCGTTAGGGTTTAGGCCAGTAGCTGAGTGCTTACTATGGAAGCTTGACGAGTTGCAAATACTGCGAAGAGCCCTACGCCCCTAAGCCCTAAGAGCCCCGTAAACCCTAAACCCTAACCAAAAAAACCGTGAAGTGCCATTGGCAGCACACCCACGTAGTTGGTGGACGAGCAAGGAGTGAGTCAGCTGAACTTTAAAAGAACTCTACCCTAAACCCTAAACCCTCTACTCTAGCCCCCAAACCCTACAACCTCTACCCTAGTCCCAGCTTTGGCATCCCGAAATAAGTCGCTGAGTCGCAAAGCTTTAGGAAGCATGGACTTGGTGCGCCAGCTGTGGAGTTTGGGTGCCTGGGCCTGGATACAGGGGGTTTAGGGTTTATGGGCAGTTTGGGGCTTAGCTGCAGGGTTTAGGGGCTGTTTAGGGCTTGGGGTGGATAGCTGATAGCTCTAGGGTTTTATGCTACAGTTATGTATCGGGCTTTATGTAGGCTTTAGATAAAGGTTTTTGGACGGGCTTCAATTCTTTCCTGATTTCGGTGGTTCAGTTACGGGTTTAACTTCATGCGGATTGTTGCGTGATTGAGGGTTTTAGAGGTTTGGGGTTTCGATAATAAGCTTCTTTAGCAGTGTCAAACCACCTCCGAAAAGGTTCTGCAAGGGTGTGCTGGCCTTTTCGAGGTTTGGAGGGTTTGAGGCCAAGGATGAAGCTTAGGGGTACCTAGAAATAGTTTTAATTTTTGGTTATTATAATCCCTATGAAACAGCTAAGATGTTACTTTTTGCTAGGGTTCTAAGTTCAGTATAGGAAGGTCCATCATAACCTAATAACTACTTTGTGTAAGTTGCTGTGACAAACCGACTTAGAGAGTTTAGAAGGAGCCTACAAAAAAGTAGGTTTGAGCAGTTCAAGGTAAGCCCTAAACCTCGAAGATCTGATTCCGACCCAGACCCGCTCCCTACACTTTTCCCTGGGTTTACAGTAGAAGCCAGAAAGTTGGAACATGGCTTTAGGAGGATTAGTGCTAGGATCCCTTATACTTTACCTTAAGGGCATGAGGAGAATGATGTTCCACCTCTCTGGCTTCTACCATAGAGGTTGAGAGGTGTTTGGCTCAAGGACCTACCTTAACCTACCAAAACCTACTTTTTTTAGGGTCCCTGTAAATTCAACTATTCGGGTTTATAAGAAACTGGGTTATGGTATATGTAGATCAAGGTAAGGACAAGGAACCTGGTGTGCGATGCATTTAGCGATCGGGGTCCTTAGATAGGGGTCTTGGCGCCCTGGCCTTCTAGAGGCGTTCAAGATTTGGGTTTGCGTTTGTATACAGGTAGGTTAGCTACAGGTTTTCGGATTTAGGTTATTCTGTGTTCTGGGGAATCTTCGAAACTGTGTTCGTGTGTTTTTCATATACGGGTTGAGAGGCTTCAGGACTCCTACAGGGTCTTGTTGGCTGTAATTGGCATTGAAACGCTTTGTAGCCCATGAATGCTTTGGGTACGGCCCCGACTCAGTAACAGTAGCCCTATCATAGACTATTGCCGTATGGGGGCGGTACCTAATGAATGCCCGAATTGCACGAAGCTGTCTTTGCCCAAGAACCTTAATTTGATCCACGACCCCAGGACGTAACACCTGCAGCTAGAAACCAAACGCTTCTAGCTACCCCCCCCCCGACATTTCCTATTCATGGTGTTAAAGAGGTGGATGGAATTCAAGGTGGGTAATGGCTGAGGTAATTGGGCACTGAGTGGTTTGCGCTTTGGGGTTTTGCGGTTTAGGGATTTAGGTGCTAAGGCTTAGGGGTTTCGCGGTTATTCCCCCTGAAAATTAGACTGCTTGCAGCATCATCACACTTGTCGTAGGCCACTTCGATGTAGATTTCATCCTGGAGCTTACTCACCTCTTTGCTTTGCCAACTGCCCGCTAAGTGGGTTTGCAACACTAGACCCTAAACCCCCAAACCGCCAAGCCGCTAAACCCCTGAGCCGTAAACCCAGGTGGCCAGCGTGACGTGGAGCACAGAGAAGGACACGCCGCCTGAGCCGCAAGTAGATCGGTTTAGGGAATTAGGGAACTGCCCCAACGGTAGACATGTACATAGCACCGGATTGTAGAAGACTCGTATAACCCCCGGTATAAAGCCTTAGCAAGACTCTTAGAAACACGCCACATAAACCCTGATTAAGAACCCTGAACCCTACAGTTTGAATATCAATCTTCTACTATCATGGCCCGGTTTTTCGAGAGCCTAAAGGCAAGGATAGAAAGTTGTAGTATTTTAAAAAATGACACATATTCCGTTGATGGAACCACCCGTTGAGCAGCATAGCGCACATTGTAATTTGAAACCTCGGGATGTCGCAGAGTCCGTGCAACTCAACATAGAGGTCCGAGCTTACTTAAAGGATCATGGGACTTAGTAACTATAGGGTTATAATTAGGGTAACTATACTTATAACCCCAATTAGGGTACTTATAACCTTACTTACTAAGTCCCATGATCCTCCAAGTAAGGTTTGGGCGTTAGGGATTTGGGCGTTGGGTTTGAAGGGTTGAAGGGTTTTTGCATTGGTCTTGTACTTGTGCTTTGCACACACACGGGAGCCCTACGGAAACTATTGCATGCTGGTCAGACCCTTACAAGAATCATGTCCCTCGCATTCATTTGAGAGTTTCCGAAAATAGGGGACCCTAATATAGTACCCCAAATAGTAGGATCCTTATTTTTAAGGACCCCTAGCATAAGGTACCCCGAAGTTTCGGAAGCTTCCAGACAAGAATCACGACCCTCGCATTGATTTCCTGGAAGCCCATGTGAAGCTGAGGCACACGCTCAGACGCTCGGACTGACTTTCCGGCATCCTTGTATGCTTTTCGGGCAATTTCGGAAAACTCGAAAAACTGAACCCGGAACCCTATAAACCCTGAACCCTCCCTGAAGCTTCAACCTTAATCCGGTATGCGCATGCTGCCTGCGAGATAAGCATCCCGATGCCCGAAACGCAAAGGTCCCCACACAACCCCAATACAAGGGTCGAAACAATTAGTCAAACTTGTGTCCCAAAAGCTCCTTCTTATGGCTGTACCATCATATACCCCAACACCCTGGTGCGATGTTGACTCTTCTATATCGACTCCACATCCAAAGCCGCTAGAGTCTCAGAGCCCTTAAAAACCTGGGCTTTGGAGTACCATACTTTAATACCATTTTTCTTACAGGAACCATTAAGATGAAATAATTTTCTTAAAGGAGCCATTATTATGACATATTTTTTAAGGAACCATTATCATGAACTAATGTTCTTAAACGAGCCATTAGTAATTTCTAGAAGTTTATACTTTTTTCTCCCTGGTTACTTAAAAGCCCAGAACCCGAAGCCTGGACCCCGACGCCTCCGGAGCCGAAAGCTTCAAACTCTTCCCTAAACCCTAAACTTAAACAAAAACCTAAACCCTAAACCCTAAGCTTAAAAAAGCCCTAAAACCCTAGACTCTCTGAGATGCTGCCCTGTGCCTCCAGGGACGTTATTATGGGGTTTTTACGGTTGATGATATAAATCCTGCATTACCTTAAGGACCCTAAACTATGGGAATTATGGTATATTCCTTATTATGGGTCATGCAGGATTTATATCATCAACCGTAGGGCCCTAACTATGAGGTCCTTGGAGGATAGGGCTAACGCAGGAGGAGCCTGGACGTCTCGAGAGCTTCCGGGTTTAGGATTTGGGGTTTAGGGAGTTTAGGGTCTTAAGAGTTTCCGGGTGTAGGGTTTAGGGTCTTAGGAGCTTCCGGAGTCGCGAAGTAACAGTAAGGCTGATAGTAGAGACTTTCGTGGCTGTACCGTGAGCTGGGTTTAGGGTTCAGGCAAACTCATTGGATGTTGTTGCAGTCATACTAGGGAGAGAATTCCTAAAGACTACCGTCATGGTGGCCAAACTTGCCATACCAATTCACGGACATCATCCGTAAGCTGAAAGCCTAAACCCCATTTCTAGAGCTCTTGAAACCAAGCACACAGCGCCATGTAGACCCTGACAGAGCGCTGGCAGAGCCCGTAACTGACCCTGTCAACAACCTGTAGCAAGGCCCTGAAGCCCCGCACCATCCCACACCCTAAAACCTAAAATCATTAGAACACGCATAGAGCCCTGAACGGAACACTGACCCCCAAAGAGAATGCTTATAGAAGCGTAAAAGGGGCCCGTAAACAAACCCTAGACACCCAGAGCCCGAAGCCTGTGAGATCAGCAGCACCTTATTGCAACAATATACCGCAAACCTCCATTCTTACTTTTGGTTAGTAGGGAATGGAAGGATGGGGTACAATTATAACTACTATTACTACCCTTCTTCCATTCCCTACTCACCAAAGGTAAGATGTAGGATTATTAAGGCCCCTATATTATAGTACCCTTATAGATCCCTTATAGTAACCCTTATATAGACCCGTTTATAAGGCCCCTTCGAGGGGTTTAGGGTCTAATGATGAAGGCACTGAGGCTCTTGGAACCGAAGCGAGTTGGGTTCGGTGTGCCAGGAGCTGTAAAGCTCATCGTTCGTAGCAACCTTTCAGTATCAGCTTCGCTGTGTATTCCGTCAAAAAAAAAGGCTCTTGGAACCGAAGCCCTGGACCCCGAGGTGACGAGGGAGCCTGTCCCCACTGGGCGAGACAGCGCCGCAGATGCCTCTGAGGCCCCGTGGCTTACCTTTGGTTAGTAGGGAATGGAAGGGGCCTTATAAAGGGGTCTATAAGGGTTACTATAAGGCATCTATAAGGGTACCATAATATAGGGGCTTTAATAGTCCTATATCTTACCTGTGGTTAGTAGGGAATGGAAGAACGGTAGTAATAGCATTTCTAATTGTACCCCATTCCTCCATTCGCCACTAACCAAAGGGAAGGTGGTGACTGAGGGGTTCCATTTACTCGATGATTTAGCAAGGGCCCCCCCCCAGTGTTGGAATCATGAGCCAAATGGTCCGCAGACACACACACACACACAGACACACAGACACACATGGTATAACAATACACCCCGAAACCCTAGTCTAGTAAACCCCGTAAACCCCAAAACCCTAAGCAGTTGTTAAGGCATCAAGAGCTTTCGCAACCACGTGGTGCGAGCTGCAGAAGGACAAGACTGCGGAGGACCGAGACATCCGCACACAAGGGTGCCTAGGGTTTTGGGGTTTTACGGTTTTAGGGTTTTTAGGGCTTCTAGGGTTTTGGGGTTTTTAGGGTCTCAGGTTGTAGGGTTTGAGGTTCTTCGGCCTGCACGAGGAGTTATTTCTTCGAAACCTGGGCACAAACACTCCAACCTGCCCCCTTCTGTGTGGTTGCATGCTACAAAGTGAGGTCGGAGACATATGAGTGGGTGTCAAAGTTATGGCCTTTTTTGGATCCCTATTATAATAGGTGCCCTAAAAGGGACCTCAATTTTGACGGCTACCCATATGTATCTCAACATTTGGGCAACGCCCGGGTGGAAAGATATAGACACTTACGGTCCTTTACGACTGAGAGGGTGCCCACTACAACTTCTGAAGGATCTTCTAGAATCCGAGACAAACCCCACAGAAACTTACATAAACCCAGCCTTATAGATCCTTTCTACGTTCTACATTGTAAGACCCCAACAGCTCAAAAGGTGCATCACCGCCGCTGCCAGCCCAGTGAGGGGCTGCATAGAAGCCTGTCATCGAGAAGGGCACGGGTCGGCTGGGTGTACTAAGTACCTAAGTACAGCATCCTCGGCCCAACAGCATTTTAGGGTGTATGGCTTAGGGCTTTAGGGTTTATAGCTTAGGGTTTTGGGTTTTGGGTCTTGCGGCTTTAGGGCTTCTGGGCTTTGCGTAGACCGTTTGTAAACCCACAGCCGTAAGACCTGCAACAAAGAAGACAATCCCGGAAGACCTTCGCTCAACTCAACCCCAGTAGTCATAGCAAGAGTTCGTTTAAGGGTTCCTTTAAGGGCTCCTTTGAGGGATCTATATCTATCTTCCGGCCGCTCCCTGTGGTTTTCCGCGTGGTTGACAGGCAGCTTCGGGCACACGCCGAATTTCAGAAGGCATCGATTTGAATTCCAGGATTCCGCGGCTTTCAAGCCGTGAACGCGGGGTCACCCCGCGTAGCACATTTCAATAGCTTAATCTCTGCCGTCGTAGGATCTGGGGCTTCTTTGTCTTTCGTCCGAACGCGCCAAGAATTGATTTTCAGCCATACTGGCTACTCAGTTCGAGAAGGGAAGCAGTTGTTATGAAGTACGCCAGAGAGGTTGTGAAGGCAGAAGGACGATGTTCGGAGAAGCCCTGCTGTGCTGCGGGATGTCGCCTAGAATTTCTACCCGAGCTTGATGCACGTATCCAACCATCAGTCACCAGGGCCTTGGAGAGTTTCTGGTGTAGGGTGGTTGGTAAAAGTCATAATGACCACATGTTAAGCCTAATTCCTGAAGCCCTGCCTCATCCACAACCCTTCAATTCTCTAGCTTGTGTTTCAAAAGGCAAAACCCAAAGCATCCAGATGTACATAGAAAGCAGGGTCCTGCGTCGAACTTCAGACCGCCACAGTGACCGGTGCTGAAGAAAGGGGGTTTAGGGTTTAGGGTTTAGGGTTTTAGGGTTTAGGGTTTAGGATTTTAGGGTTTAGGGACCAAATTTTAGGGTTTTGAAAATGTTTGTCGCTTGCGCGTATACTTAGATTTTCGCTGTTCCCTTGAATTGCAGGAAAAGCCGGGCTAGCACCAACAAAAATACAAAACCCCAAGCCAGAATCTTAAATCAACCTTCCAATCCTAGGAACCCTAAATGATCTATGGACTTGAATTTCATTCTGGAATTTGTCAAAAATCTGTTGACAAAGAAGATCAAAGAAGTATTCTTAACATATATACCAATAGCATTTAAGAATGCAGAAATCTCGAAATAAAGCTTAACACAGGATAATAATTTGATTAGTAAAATTATGCGGCTTACTAACCTTTTTCTAATTGGCTCTTAGATGAAACTCTCTCGCTTTGTACTGGACTCCGTAATTATTTGCCCAACTAACGAGCCTCTTATCGTTCAAGTTGCTGCCGAGAATTTGAAGACGTCTCGCGAATATGTTGATAATATATTAAGACTTCAAGAAATCTCGGTAAGATCTATGCTATATTATGATTGAAAAATTCTTGCGACGCGAGCGACCTTCCAGCTAAAACCGATAGTAATATACGTAAAAATCGCAACCGAAGGAAAAAAGCACCAAAACTCGAACTGGAAGGGACTTCGACCCCTTGACGTAAATTCAAACCCGCTACCACCCGCTACATCGACGGGAACTCAGCAGTACGAATGAAAAGTTTAGAAAATCAGAAAAACAAGATCTTAAGCTAATACGTATTTCAGTATAATTAATCTAGTAGAAATATCGATTCGGAAAGATGAAAAATATTTATGTAATTCTTGATTTTTTGTTTTAGAAAATATCTACATAAAGTCTTGATTTACTATTTAGCTACTGACGTGCCGGAATATTTTTGACTAACTAGTTTCATTAATACATTCTTATTCTATATAGACTGAATTTGCAGTATCTTTTACTATCAATATTGTGCTGTTTGGTGTGTGTTGTGTGTTGTGTGTTGTGTGTGTGTGTGTGTGTTGCGTGTTGCGTGTTGTGTGTGTTTCGTGTATTGTGTGTGTGTGTTGTGCGTGTTGTTTGTCTTGTGAGTGTGTTGTGTGATGTGTGTGGGTGTTGTGTGTGTTGTTTGTCTTGTGAATGTGTTGTGTGATGTGTGTGTTGCATGTGTTGTGTGTGTTGTGTGTGTGTTGTGAGTGTGTTGTGTGTGTGTTGTGTGTGTGTGTGCGTTGTGTGTTGTGTGTTGTGTGTTGCGTGTTGCGTGTTGCGTGTTGCGTGTTGCGTGTTGTGTATGTTGTGTGTGTGCGTGTTGCGTGTGTGTTGTGTGTGTGTGTGTTGTGTGTGTTGTGTGTGTGTTGTCCGTGTCGTGTGTGTGGTGTGGGTTGTGTGTGTGTGTGTTGTGCGGCTGTGTGTGTGTGTGTGTTGCGTGAGTTGTGCGTTGTGTGTGGTGTTGCGTGTGTTGTGTGTGTTGCGTGAGTTGTGTGTTGTTAGTGTTTTGTGTTGTATGTGTATTGTGTGTGTTGTGTGTATTGCATGTGTTGTGTGTGTGTGTGCGATATATGTATGATGAGAGTATGTTGTGAGATATTATAGGTGTTGAATATATTGTGCGCATATTATGAGGATGTTATTG